TTGGTATTAAATAATCCATTGAGGTTGATCTGCCGTAAAACAAAACAAACCAAACTATGCTAACAGTTTCTTTTCTCGCACAACTTGCTTGTGGAACGCTCTTTTGTCTTCTTGCTTTCCAGTCAAGTTTGATCTTCAAAAATTCAAATGCAATGCCAATCGCTATCTACTGTCTTCCTGATCACTCATCTTTTGTTCTTTTTCCTCAAAAATTCATTTGATTTTTTTTCTTTCACACCCAGTAACCCCTTGTGTCTTAGTGGATTTACTGTCTTGCTTGGGATGATTTCGATAAAAAAAAAGAAGTGAAAATACCTAATTTAATTTTAGAACTCTCTAATAAGAAGGGAAAAAGGGATGAGTGAAACAGTGGATGATGGTTGCAATCTCATCTCTTCTGGATAGCCATTGCGTTAACTGATATAATTTTTTTCACATTTTTCTTTCTTTTTTCATCGCACTATTGCAAAGCGAATATCATCGTTAATGAGTCTATGTTCGTGCAGCTTTTATCTATCTATCTATCTATCTATCTATCTATCTATCTATCTATCTATCTATCTATGTTTGTTTTGCAGGTGGTTCAGTATCGTTTGATCCGCAGCAGTTTCAGATTTTGGCCACCGGAAGTCACGTGACTGGACGCCTCCTTTGCGTTATCGTCTGTCTTTTTGCTTTCTATCATATAAAGATCTAGAAATTTGAATGATCAAAGCCACCGAATTGAACATTTGGAGATTAACTGTTCAGAGTTTCCTATTTTGCTTTAGTTTCGTATATATATTTTTTCTAAGGTGTCTTTGATTTTCGTATTCTCTTGAGACGAAGACGAAGAAAACGCTAATTCAAAGAAGCAGACGATGTCTTCCCAGTAGTTTTGCTTTCTAAAGGAATGCTTTACAAAACTGTACGAGTTTTATTTATTATACAAAGAGAGCTGCAAGTTCAACGTTGATATACAGCTTGGCATCTTTGCTTCAGGATGTGATTTATTTAAGAATGATAAAATAATGCGTATATTTCTCGCAAAGGAAATAAAAGTCAAAAAGCAACTTCAGCTGAATAAATACAGAGTTTCGTTTTGCTATTGTTTAAGTGTTGTTCTTTTTTTATTGACTTATGGGACAGCCGGAAAATTGTAATAATAATAATAATAATAATAATAATAAATGACTACATCAAATGAAACGATCAAAAGAAGGCTACAATCCCGATAAAGAATAACTTTCCAAATCAAACAGGATGCGATGGGTAAATTGTCGCCGTTTTATATATTTAATTTCGCGCATGGGCGTTGTTTGTTCTTTGACTTTGTCGACTACACAGTATAGCAGGAATAGTTGGGAACCGTCTGTGAGAAAAAGAACACCATGACGCAATTCACTGTGACAGGAATTTAGAAACGTCATCCTGCACTGCTTGGCAATCGCACCAAATGCAATAATACGAACATTTCAGTTTGGGTGTCAATATTAGGATGGCGCAGAGGATTCGGAAAGAGTTGAATGAGTTTAATGGTGATTACAAAGGTACTTGGAGTGATCTGTAGTGATGGTGACGTTATGTCTACATTCATCTTCCCACGGGGCCTCAAACTCAACACGGAGGTCTACATCAAGTGGTTTGAGGAAGTAATACTACCATGAGTCAAGAGGGTGGCTGCTGGAAGACACTGTGTCTGACAACAGGATTCTGCACCATGCCACACAAGCAGGAGAACTCAGGTATGGCTGTCAGACAATTTCTGCGACCACATCACCCCCTTACATCTGGCTACCTAACTCCTCAGACTGCAACCTCCTTGATTATTATGTGTGGGGCGCAGCTGAGCGAGAGACTAACAAAACTCCTTTAACAACAAAGATGAACTGAAAGGAAGGGTTATGCCAGCATTCACCAACTTAAACAAGGTGAACACCTAGAAGAGTTGCAGGAGATTCCGAAGTCGTCTGGAGGCCGTGTTTGAAGCCAATGGCGATTTTATTGAATAAATTTACTCTTTCGTATTTCAAAATATTTTGTGAAATTTTGGTAAATATATATTATAAAATAAAATGTCAGTGTTATTTTCATTGTTACGTAATTTAAACAACAATTTCTTCAACGCATCCTATATATATATATATATATATATATATATATCATAAGAATAAAAGCTAAAGCTTAAAATATAAAATAAATTGAGGACTTCATGCCGAAATCAGCAATATGTAGATACTGATCCAAGTCTTCCTTGTGACTGAAATTAGGCAGACGGGGCATATTCTGGCAGCCGTCGATGGTTGAACTGGAACAAAGTCACAAGTCATCGTGACCGAGGTTTTAAGTCTGTTGTTCAGACTGTTGATCACCAGAAACTGTAAGTTCCGCTCAGTATAGTTGCAGTACAAACGACAGGAGTGCCCTGTGGATGTTGAACAAACACAAATATGCCTGAGCAGGTGTCTGCAGCAGGTTTTGGATAGCCGTGCTAGCAGACAGGCATACTCATATACTAGCGACCAGCCACCACACACATACACTCACACACACAGAAACATACACACACACATATATATTTTATATATTATTGATATTTAATTCTAATTTAACTTTATTTTATTGATGTCAAATATTATAATTATTATTATTATTAATTTCAAATTATTCCTTTGCTGTCGAAAATGACATGAATATTAGACACATTACTGTATCTATTTTAAGTCTGATCCCAACCCTCTTACCCTGTAATTTAACTTGTTAAACCCGCAAGGAAAAATTATTTCTAGGTCACCCTATCGACTCATGTTTAATTCTTCCTTCTTTCCTTTCTTTTCCGTCCTCCCCTGTCTCACTCTCTGTTTTCTCTCCCCTCCCTCTTAAATTATTAATTATTCTTATATTAATTTTTTCTTATATTATTATTATCTATATTTGTGTCTATATATATATGTGTGTGTGTATGTATGTATGTATATATATATATATGTATATATATACTTATTTTTAATTCTTTAATGTTGTTAATTTATTTAATTATTTAATTAACATTTTTTACATATTTTATATATTTTAAATTTTAATTTATTTAACTTACTTTACTTTATTGGTGTCAAATATTATTATTATTATTAATTTGAAATTGTGATTATAATGCGATGATGATTCCTTTGCTGTCGAAAATGACATAAATGTTAGACACATTACTGTATCTATTTTAAGTCTGATCTCTCTTACCATGTATTTTAACTTGATCAGCCCATAAAGAAAAATCATTTCTAGGTCACCCTATCGACTCGACTCATGTTTAATTCTGTCTTCTTTCCTTTACCCTCTCTTCTCTCTCTCGTTTCCCTCTTCCCCCTCTCTCTCCCGCACAATTTTTTAAAAGCTTATATTGAAATTTTTCTTTTTCTTTCTTTCTCTTTTAATATAAAACCTTTTTCCTTTATCCTTTTTCTTTCTCTCCCTCTTCCTTTTTTCTCTGGACTAATTGAATTCATTTATTAAAGGAAAACTTCGGTCTGAAGAGATGATTATTTCTATATATTCATGAAATAAATTATAGCCGAATGGATTTTTTATGAATCGTCTGTACTTATTATATATATATATATATATATATATATATATATATATATATATATATATATATATATCTTGGGTATAATGGCATCAGAAATTGTCCAAATCGTGTAAAAAGCAAACTTGTCCATTTGTCAGGTTAAACTCTGAATCATTGTATCTTAGCAATGATAAAAGATATCTTCCTGGAATTACCGAGGTTTATTTTAAATATTGGAATCTTTGAGCAAAAATATATATAATTACTATCAAAGCTTAATCGTCATGACATGCCGATCATTAAGCAAGCATCGGAAACTAGATGAAGGATTGAAATAAATTTCATATATATATATATATATATATATATATATATATATATATATATATATATATATATATATATAGTTAAACCTAGAGAGCCAGACAAACCTACCAAGGTTTCACCTAAGCGGATCGTCAGGGAAGGCTGGCTTTTTTTTATACCTTTTTTCTTTTTGGTATTGGTTTGATTACTTGCAAATCAAGACACTGAAGGTTTTCAAAAGGTTTCTTATGTATAGTTTCTATTAATAATTATAATATTTCTATATATATATATATATATATATATATATATATATATATATATATATATATATATATATATTCATATTCCAGGATCATTTTCCAACTTATTCAAGATGATCTTCGCCCTATAACCTTCTAAAATCCTGTCCTGGCGTAACAAGGTGCCTCACAAGTTTCATGTACGATTTCATTTTCAAGTTTTTTTTAACTGCTCTTAGGACTGTCATAGGGGAAACTTCTCTTTCACGTGCCAAACGTCATATGGATTGAGTTGGATCTTTTCTAATTGATCACTTTAACGCTAAGTTGAAATGATAATCCCTCTTACTGTTTTGACCTCCTGATTCAGTTTTCCTCACTACTGTTCCCTTTTTTGTAAACATATTCATCGTTCTCTTGTTGGTTCTTGAATGGGCTTTGAAGAATATGGATGTTGGTACCATTACCAAAGGCCTGAATGACCTATTTCCTCTCACCATTGCTCATTTGGTAAGACAGTGGGTCTGACACAAAACGATTTTTAACCTGTTCTCTTTCTAGCCGAATAACTGAAAAGGGTTTTCAATTATTCTTACGACAAACGGCATCAAGATGGCTAAACTTCTTATCTGAAAACCAGGAAAAAAGAAACTCAGTTTAGTGGACTTTTAGATATTAAACAGTTTGCGGGATGGACATTTATGCTGTTATCCAAGGGACGTGTGTGGATAAATAATGGTTAACCCTAGAATTGAACAGTTTAAGATTGTAGTGGTCGGAGAAGCAACCTCTTGGGAGTCGGTTGTACAAGGCAATGGTTCGTGTGAAGAAGCTGCCCGAGTGAGCCTTACATTTCATCCGTAGAATATGAAGGGAATCAGTGTAGTTCTCTACAATGGTCATAGGCCTTACGGTCACATCAAGTTTAAACACTGGTTCCCGTACGATCAACGAAGTTAAGAAACGTCGTACCTGTTCAGTAACTAGATGGGTGACTGCTTGAGAATACCAGGTGTTGAAAGCTTGGATGCGCAGATAGTAGAAATGGCTTACGGTTATATTACATTGAAACACCGTTTCTCGTACGATCACCGTTATTTGCAAAATTTAATACAACCAACCGAGTTGCTCAAAATAATTCTTCTTCGCCAGTTGACATCTTGCAAAAAGCTAACAATGTATATCAATTTAAATATCCTTTAGGAGATTGTATCTCTGATAATAATGTCAATACGTACGTTGGTTTTACTACGACAATGCTAACAAAAAGGCTTATATTTCATTTGGTTGAGCATAGTTCAGTATCTCAGCATTTAACACTCATGTCCTAACTCGTAGAATAGACGGATTATTAGTTGAAAATACATCTATATTACATTAAAAAAAAAACAATAATAAGTAAAAACTACAAATCCTTGAAGCCCTTTATATAAGAGAGTTGAAGCCCAGAATAAATTAAGTCAACTATAATTATAGCAACAAAGTATTTAAATACTTATAAAAAATTATATATGTTTGAGAAAAAATAAAAAAAGTTACTTCCCTTATAGTGGAAAAAAACCCCTCAAAACACGTGAACTTTGAAATCTAGAACGCTGCGCAAGCATAAAAACGAACAGTTGAAATGTTTTGAATTTGCAGAACACACATATGCATATTCACAGGCGACTTAACTCCCTGAAAATGGTCTCAGATGAGATTGAAAGTACTTGGGAAAATAAAAACTATTTGAAAGAAAATTTTGTTATTTTTCTTAATCAATTTTCTAAGGCTAACAAGAAATTGATCCGCAAACTCGAAATAATCACAACGAAAACTTATCGACATGATATGCCTAAATTATTTACCCAAACCTATTTGAATATATATATATATATATATATATATATATATATATATATATATATATATATATATATATATATATTGTTTTTTTACAAATGTAAACAAATGTCAAATATATATATATATATATATATATATATATATATATATATATATATATATATATATAAAAAAAATATAGTCTTAAGGTCTGTTATATTTATGGGATAAAGTGCTCAATATCAGAGATAGAGCGTGTATAAATATAAAAAGTGAACATAGAAGTCAACACTTAGAGGCGACAGCCTGTTTCATTTTATATGCAATCGTCAGGCCATATATATATATATATATATATATATATGTGTGTGTGTGTGTGTGACATTTGTTTACATTTTTAAAAACAATAAGCCAAATTTGGCTCGAATGAAGATAGCTCAGTGGTAGAAATTCTGACTACCACCAGCTCGGTTGGGTTTCAATCCTGGCTTGAGGCGTTCGGATGTCTAGTCACACTGAAGAGCTGTTATACAGCGAAGTAGTACAGTCTGCGAATGATATATATATATACGCACATGTTTCCTTGAATAATATAGATAAATTATCTCTACTTTTATATTATTCCTTCCTATTTCTCTAGTTATCTAGATGTTAAGTTGAAATTGATCAAGGAAGGTGGCGTAGTTTTTGTTAACCCAGGGACTTTCGAACTCCTCCGAGATCATCCTCAGGGGTTAACTACGAAGAAAACCTTATTGTAACTGTGATCTTTGTGATGCTGATTCTCGTAAATCGCGTGAACGCACTCGGTTATAATTATTTTAAAATTAACCGTTGTGGTTACGATGTATTTTTGTAAACAACCGTCCACAATGTAAGGGAGCTAACCAGAGATCATGCAACATCATGGCAAATACTAGTTATCTGGAATGCATTTTAAAACATTGCTACTACACTCGTAATAAGTTTTGGTCAGTGTTAGTTGCTTGCTTTTAATATAGGGATTTTAAGTTTTTTGTGTATTATTTTCATTGTGTAGTATATTGGTGTTGTCATCACGTATTTTCCTGTGTTGTGAAAGTGAACAGAAATGTGTCTTTAATGTTGTGCGATAAAACCTGTATCCGACAAATGAAGTGTAAGGGGCCTTGATAATGTTGTGGTTGCCAGACCAAAATATGTATTTACTATTTTGTCAGAGTTACAATCTCAAAGGGGCATTTAAACTGATATAAAATGTTGGTCTTTTGCAAAACACTAATTGACGGAAATGAGTTACTGCGTGTGATTACGTTTTTTGTGTTGAGTTTAGTATATTATATAATTAGTTTTATTTTTTTACTGTAATCAGTGGGGAATATATTAGTACTTATGAGATATTTTAGGATTTTTTTCATCTTGTTTATAGTTAGAATGCATTTGAATACTATATAGTATGTTGATATGTTTAGGGTTATTTGGGGATGTATTATGTTCTTTTTGATTTATGTTAATAATTCCAATGGCTCGTCTAATGCATATTTTATACATACCTATATATATATATATATATATATATATATAAATTATTTATTCGAAAATTATAACATAAATATGTTATAAAATCACTACAAAAATAGTCATTTTGTTTCAACACTATCAAGACGTCTTACAATTCATTTCTCGGATACATTCCTGTACCTCTTCACAACACAGGAAAAATTGAAACCCATGCAGTTACGTTTCAGGCAAACGTCATACCAACTGTACCAAAGGGCCTCGGTGACGAAGAGGTAGCGAATTAGACTCGATATAGGGTTTCACTTCTCGGTATTGGATGTGCACTGCTGATGAGTCCCAAATATAGGACCAAACGGCGGTCCAGTGCTTTCTGCATTCTGTTGAGGTTTCTTCTAGACTCGATGAATTACTTAATTATAATTATCTCAAATGCTCCTAATAATTTCTATCACTTATATAAGGGGGAAAGCGAGTATTAATGTAAACGCCGGTTATGATTTTGCACCGAGCTGAAGATGTAGGAATACAAAATTTTAAAATTTCTGGCACCCGACGTGTATAGACGCATTGCCTAGGCGATCTGAGTCGGTTTCCCACGCAATTATTATAATTGGTATATGTTTATATCCACACACAAACGCACAAACACTAACGCGCGCGCGCGCACACACACACAGACATACACACACACGCGCAAACGCGCGCACAAACAGACATACATACAAATATTGTTTTCAAAAATTGAATTTTACGTAACAAATAACATTTGCGATCATTGCTTTTGTCTACCGCCATTAATGTTTTTAAGTTTTGATAATGTTTAAGCAGGTAATTGGAAGCGTTCGCTTAGAAAAAAAAATTATACAGATTTTCGACATGTTAAGTTTAAGCAAGCTGGTAAAAATAAATATTGCTGTATATGCAGGAAAAGTTTAAGCAAGTTGGTATGAATATACTTTGCCGTATATATACGAGAAAAGTTTAAGCAAACTGCTGCGAATATACTTTGTTGTATATATACGAGAAAAGTTTAAGCAAACTGCTACGAATATACTTTGCTGTATATATACGAGAAAAGTTTAAGCAAACTGCTACGAACTGGGTGTCACATACAAAACCTCATCATTAAATAGCCCAGTAAGTGTTGTTATCTCATAAAATACACCAAAATAACTCTACGGGTGGTTAATGGTTCTCAAGGCTAGTCTGGTTAAATCATTAATACTGGTGACAATCAACACTGGGGGTCCCATATAAAATTTGATATGAAATAACCTTTAATCAGTCAAACAAACTGTTGTGATATCCTCCCTCTAAAAAGTTTATGTTGGACTCTTCCGCCTACTATAAGATTAGTAGGAGAGAAGGTTCATTTCTGTCGAACTCTCTGCCACGGCAGAGGAGGTAGACAGTCTCTGAACCCGTTTAGGCGGGTTCAAAGGGAATATTTTTGGCCGAGTCTACGGGCTCGGAGTACCGACAATAAACCGGCCTTGTACCACATACGCCCTCGTGAGGGGGCTGTTAAATATTAACAGTCGATCAGACTGTTCATTTCTGTCGAACTCTCTGCCTCGGCAGAAAGGAACTCGGATGAAGCTTTGCCGCAGAGCAAAGCTTCGTCCGGGGAGGTAGACAGTCCCTGAACCCGACTAGGCGGGTTCAAAGGGAATATTTTTGGCCGAACCTGCGGGCTCGGAGAAACACACGTTAAACTCGGCCTTGTACCACATACATTGCTTGTGAGGGGGGCTGTTAAATATTAACAGTCGACCAGACTGTTCATTCCTGTCGAACCCTTTGCCACGAGCGGAGAGGAACTCGGACGAAGCTTTGTCCGGGGAGGTAGACAGTCCTTTTAGGCGGGTTCAAAGGGAATATTTTTGGCCAATCCTACTAGCTCGGAGAAACCCACGGTAAACTCGGCCTTGTGCCATATAGACCCTCATGGGCGGGGGCTGTTAAATATTAACAGTCGACCAGATTGTTCATCTGTCGAACTCTCTGCCTTGAGCGGAACCCGGACGAGGCTTTGCCGAAAAGGAGGTAGACCGGCCCCGAACCCATTTATGCGGCTTTAAAGGGAATATTTTTGGCCGAGCTTACGGTCTCGGAGAACCCACGGTAAACTCGGCCTTGTGCCACATGCATCCCACGTGGTGGGGGCTGTTAAATATTAACAGCCGACCAGACTGTTCGTAACTGTCGAACTCTCTGCCTCGGCAGAGAGGAACTCGGACGAGGCTTTGTTGCAAGGCAAAGTTCAGTCCAAGGCAGAGAGTTCGACAGTTGAACAGTTAGATCACTGTTACCCCAAGGCCTTCTCTCCTACTAATCTTATAGTAGGCGGAAGAGTCCAACATAGACTCTTTAGAGGGAGGACACCACAACACAAAGCAAACCAATTCTATATTTATCAAGCTTCATATTTGTATAACACTTGCTGAAAAAAAGGTTTTCGCTCGAGTATAGATAAAGTGTTAGTCCTTCGTGATAAAAGTCGTTGTCGTGCAGATACAGTTGGAGTTAAACTAGAGAATTGTCCTTAATACATTACTATGAAAAGAAATGACTGAAATATGAGACAATTGGGAGCTCGGGACGTCACTCACATTGTTGGATTTTCATTGGTCAGATAAAAGAGGATTGCGGAGAAAAGAGTTTTTTTTCCTCCTGAAAAGTAAGCTTTGGAACATT